ATTTATATAATTGCTACCAGTAGCCATGTAATTAAATATTGCACCCTGCAATAAACTGAGCACTTTGGTTCCAATCAGATATTCATTTAAGCCAGGCTTAACTTTCATTAGTTAATGCATACATGGAAAGTAAAGTGTGAGATCTGTGCTTTGCTGAGGGAAGGGTAAAGTATTAGTACTTCATAGGATTTATCCCTTTAAAAACTGGTGTTTACATATGTGCTTGTGTATCTATGTATTTTTATATATACAAATATTTTCACATGAAACTGGTAGATTTACATAATATCAGAGTTTAGTAGCTGGGTCACTACAAGATAAGGAGTAAGGTTCATTGCTCACAATTCAGTGATGTTCGCAAAATATTATACATTTTAAATAAAATCCAGATTTTATTATATAAAATACAAGACAGTAACACAAAGAGTGTTAGAGTAACTTCATAGAAAACAGTAGAGATGCCTCACATGGGATGGCACATTCACTACTCGTTACTCATCTTCAGGGCTTGGGAGCCTGACATGAAAAAGCAGATTTAGTCTGCTTCCTTTAGAAAGCAGAGAGTGAGGGAAGAAAGGATGAAATCTGCAACATAACTAACAATCTAAGGCAGAGTCTCAATTCTTCCTTAACCCACATCTTCAGTCCACAATCCCTTGCCATACTTCATGGCACTAAAGACCGTCTCCTGCCATATTAGCTATTTGTACCGTCTGTCCAGTGAGGTGCAGAGAGGTGGCAGACTAAAGAAAGAAATGATTATCTGATTAGGAGGGAGAAGAATAAGAACTATTCAATGGATCAGTTTTTCTGCAGACCATATACGCTGGGACCTCTTGCAGATGGAAATCAGTTTGGGCTAACAAGCAGTCAGATTAAAAAACAACTGAATTCTTACACAGCGTCATGGTTTAGACAGTTGTTTTGTCATTCAATGACTCCTCCCCACGTGGGGAGGGTAATTGGGAAAAAGAAAGAAGACCATGGGTTGAAATAGAAACAGATTTAATAGAACAGTAATAATAAAAAAGAGTATTTACTGCAATAAGTACACAAAGTTATACTCAGCTGATACAGTGGTCGCAATGAGTAAGGAGTTGGATTCAGGAGCAGAGATTACAACCATTGAGGAAAGAGAGGGCATACCCACCAAACTCCCCAATTTATTGTCAGTGTAATGTTTATGGCATGGAATAATTCTGTTGGCCAGCTTGGATCCGCTGCCCTGGCTTTCGCTTCTTCCAGCTTCTGTGCCTGGCTAACTCAAAACTGCTGAAGACCTTAATCCCTGAACACCAGTGCGGGCTGAAAACTAAACCAGAAGTGTCTTATCAACTTTGTTCCCACTAAATTGAGTATTGCAGTCTTTGCAGAAATGCAGCTTTCCTGAATAGAAAACGTATTTATGATTCTATCCCAGTGAAATCAGGACAGACAATTAAAAATAATACCCAAAGTAGTTGTAATAACTAACTTTATAAGAAATGTTAGACTTCACATGCTTTGAAGGTTAAGACAACACAGAAAGCAGCACTGCCTCTGGCAGAGCCACTAACACCTGCTGGCGCTTTCAGCATTGTGCTCTCGTCCTTCCTTGTGCCAACACCACTCTTTTTCCCAGGATTGTTTCAACCTAGTGAAGTTACTGAGAGTTTGAGTGTGTTTATTTCCAGAACAGCTACGAATAGAGGCACACTGCAGGCATCCAAACACATCTAACATCAATAGGGCTTTGCCATTGGCTCCACTGCCATGAAGAGTCAACCAGCGTCAGAGATCTGAGTTCTGCTGGGTGACATTCATTTCTGTAGAGATACACATTTTATGTTTGAACAGTTATGATGTGTTTAATTTTGGAAGTAAACGTGTGGTCTTTATTTAGGTTGATTCTCTAAAGCACCTAAAACTACTTTCTTTTTAAAAATTACTGGATTTCTTTCCAGATACCATAGCATTATTATTATCTCTATATAGACTTCCGTTTGAAAATGAGCTTGCAAGGCTGAGATTAATCTCTAGTTTAACCAGTCTGAATAGGCAAAATAGGAGTTTCAAGATTAAAAACATACGCATCTTTTATCATAAAAATTTCATTGAGCACAAGGGAGGTTTTGAATGTGTACATGACAGTCTGTAGGCATATACATTCAAAATATATTTTAAATTAAAAAAAATATTCCATTAAATGGCTACAACCCATTCCTGATCCCAATGTGAGCTTGTGAGGATAACCATAGAAGAGCTATACATGGTCAAATCTTCAGGAATCTTCACATTTTTTCTACAGTGTTGAGATTATTCAGAACTTTTTCAATGTTGTCAGACCCATGTTTATAGCATTAATGCCAGTACAACAGTAAACTGTAGCTCTCTGATGTCTCACACAGAGTAGTTCGTTCAGCTTTTGGAGCACTTTTTATAAATATTTTCTCAGAAATTTTAGTCTGGTTCTTTGTAAATAGAATTCTTCCTGGCATGAGTTCATTGTTAAATTGATAGTTTTGGGAGTCACTAAAAAGTGCATTACCCCCATCATCAAAAAAAAAAACCAAACAAAAACACCAAACCAAAACAACAACAATTTTCTGAAACACTCCTGGCAAGAGAAGTAGTTTTCATTTCCTGGCTTGAAGCATTGGTTTGTTTTTTTCTTTTCCTATTCTCCGTTTTTCCCTTTTCCTTCTTATTTGGGCATCTAAAGAATTCCCAGATAGAAAGTAAGTGGTTTCCCTGCAGTCTTGGCAGATCAGAAAATCAACGAGTCTTGCAAATTCTTTTGTGGTACTAAAACTGTGCCTTAATACTTCCTCTACTTAACGGACTGCGTGAGTAAGTGATTATGACAAATCACTCATCTTTTCTTTCTCCTGATCATCTGCAGTTTCTACATCCCATGCAAAACAGATGGGATGCTTTGCAAAGCAAGATTTTGGAAAGTCGACACTTAAAAAAAAAAAAAGACTGAAAGAAGAATACTGCCCAGCATAAAATAAAATGGCAGCAGCAAGAATAAAAGAGAGGATTAGGGATGAGGAAGCATTGGAAAATTCAGACATACCAAGAGCACGAATGTGAGAAGGAGGAGGAATATATCAAAATGGCTTAGACAAGTTTTCTTTGCATTATGAAAGCAACAAAAAGGTGACATGATAAACTGTAGAAAACTTCAGGAAGAGAGGAAAATATTTTGCCCGCTGTTATCACATCACTGTGCAAACAGACAGCCCTTAGATTTTAGGAAAGATGATTCTTTGGGATACATCCAAAAACTAACTCACACATTTTACATTTAAAATAGAAATGACTGGAAAATAGGATGGAGAGCAGGTTTTTTTTCTTTTTAATATTCTCACCACAAGCTTCCATCTAAGTTGGCCTTGATAGTTTTAGTGAGATCTCTTTTTTTTTTTTTTTAATTAAATCTGGTAGATACGCAGGTCTCCAATCCCAACCTGTCAAGTTTAACATGCACGCACACATGCGCACAGAAGGCTTCTGCTGATTTCACTCGACTGCTTGGCTCAGGGCTTTGCTGTAGAAGCTGTTATATATTCTGTTCAAATCCAGTGGTTCTAATCATGAAATTTCCCTTCCAAGGATGAGGATTAAAACACTGCTTTCCAGGAACACAAGCAATTTACCTGAAATACTAGATTCCCTATGCAGCTGAGACACAATGTGCAGTCATAGGTTTTCCAGAGCCCAAAGGCAGAGAGCTGCCTGAGGACTCTGGTTTCTATAGATTAGATACATCTATCGCATCTTTGTACAATTCCCCTCCAGTCTTTAGTGGGCTTCATCCTCTAATCATTTTTCTACACCAGCTGTTCTTTGAATAACCTTCGACTTACTGAATAAGCTCCCATTTTTCTTCATACATAATTTCTCCTTTTGTTTGCTTTTTTTTTTAAGAGCAAGTCTTTCTTAGGGAAAGGAAAAAGAACAAAACTAGGAAAAAAAAATTAAAATTAAGATGATCATTCTGCAGCCAGGAAAATTATCAAAACTTGCTGGATATCTAGTTAAGACGACATAACAGCACACTTTGCTCATGTACCGTTTATCACTATCTTATAAAAGCTGCTCATATTTCTGACTGATGCTGTTCCCTAACCAGACATCCTATCTTCTGTGTTTGTATATTTATTCCTTTCATCACGAATCATCTCGGCTCTCTTTACAGAATCTTGTATTATTGATTTAAAGAAAAAAAACCAACACTCAACAAACAACAAACACAACAATTTATCAAGAGCTACTGTACAAAAATATTTCCAGATCATCGATTGTGGTCCTGTTACCAATGAAGAATATGTTTGACTCAGTATCAAAAAAAAAAAAAGACCAAACAACACACTAATTAATAGCTTTGCTATCACTACAAACAGTGAAATAAACCATCAGTCCTGTATGTATAAACTTTCCTTTGAGGATTAATTATAGATAGAAACTAGGGTTTTCATGCTTTCAACATCAGTAAGTTTAGATCATTGTATCTTACAAGGTTCTGAGGATTATTTATTTTTTCCAAGCAAATGACTAGGGAACCTCTAAAATATTATTAAATAAATAAAATTTTGTATTGTAAAGGATTATAGGAAAGGGCTGCACAGCTTCTGACATATGTGCAGCTCTTCAACACTTTTGTTCTGATGGGTTTTACTAACATAACTTATAACATCAATGTTTGGCAAAGTTTTGATGCTTAATTTTCCACATTTTCAATGCTACAGCAGATAAAAACCCAACACTTCCAACAGAAACAGCTTATAAAACACTCTGTATCAAAAATAAGGTGATGCAGAGAATTACTACGATACACAGTGCTCTACAATGGCTATTGCATATTCCTGTCACAAAGGCACTCTAATCACCAAGCCACCAGTTGGGTGAAGACTTCCTCCCTGCTATCATTAGCATCTGCCTCTCCACAGCTGAAAAAGGGAGCTTTTTTATTATTATTCTAACATTAAAAAAAAGTTCAATCTCATGTTTCCAACCTGGTCTCCAAAGTCCTCCGGGAACTTCCACAGTACCACTGGATCTGTAAATAATTGACAGACAGCATTAATCAGAGGCAAAGGAACAGAGTATTACAGTCAGAGTACATTAATATTAAAGAGGGGGTCAGCTTAGCGTCAAGCTTTGAGGCAAGTGCAAAAGTGTACCTAAAAACTAAGGAAAATACTGGATTATTAAAAAGACTTATTTCATATTAATGCAACTATATGTTTACTGTTTTACATAGGGTAGCAGGTTATAAAGTACTGCACTATTTTCATATTCAACTAAGAAATAAAGTGATATAAGACCTCTTTCCATCCACGGGGGGGGAAGATGTAAAGTAATAAGAAGGGGAAAACAAAATCTCCATGAGGTATAGAAAAGTGTATGCATGGAAAAGCTCTCCAGTTTCTGCCCGTGCTGGCCAACCTCAGGCAGATCCTCCCACTGCTACTGTGCAGCCCACGACAGCTCTGGGTGCCAGAGGGCAGTGAGAAGAGTGGAGAAACCTGTGGGTACAGGCTGGAGACACTGCCTGGTGAGAACTGCAACCCCTTGGCTACCTCAGGAGCTGCTGGGTCTCCCATCTTCTGAGGAGCCAAGATCTGGGACACATACTCAGATTTCTACCTCAGTCTCTAACTCTCTGATAAATCAGAAATTTCCTTCTTATTGCTATGTTTTACATAAAAACTGGATAGTTCCCCACTTTTGGACAAAGTACAGAGGTGTCTACTCTTCTTCATCCTCCCACGTATGTTTGCTGCTGCAAGTTGAAGCTTTAATGGAAGGGAAACGCAATTGATTATATTTTCATTCCCAGCTGCTGCAGCTGCTGCACCCGTGTTTGCTGCTGGCCCCCTCACAAGGAACTGGAGCCTGAAGCCAGAATTCCTCCTTCACCTCAGGCAGAGGTTAAACCAACGGTGCAACACAGATTTCAAACATGTTGCAAAATATAATTGAGATTTTAGATAAACATGTGCCCATTTGACAACTCATTGGACAAGCACATCTTTGCTCACTCCTAAGAACATCTGGGGAAGGTTTTGTAGCTTTTATTTATGAAAACGCATGTATTTGGCTCAAGGAATCTTCCTCCATCTACTGTGGGGAGCAAGAACTTTTGGAGGCAGACATGAAACAAGAGATAAGATGCTATGTTTATAAAATATGAGAGCAATTAAATACAGTTACTTAAAACAGAGATGCTTTTTCACACCTATTTTGTGTGCATTTAAACCACAAGCACATTAGTGTAATGACCAGATATAAGAGGAGTTTGAATATCTCAGTGCCTATACCATAAGGGATCTCTTATTCTAATTTAGTATCATGAAAAAGAAAGTAATTCTCAACAGTGATCTCTGACAAATTCAAGGAGCAGCAAGCATGGTAACAGACATAAAATACTTAGTGTTAAGTGATTTATAAATTACTTTCTAAAAACCACTGGAAATTGTGTAGAACCAAAAAAAAAAAAAATCTTAAAGAGAGCTTGCAAATCTCAGGCTATACATCCACAAACACCTCAAGCATATATTTTTCTGCAAATGAGTAATCCAATGGCACTCTCACTACCAGCTACTTCTTGGTGATCCTGTACCATCATCTCCCTCCCGCTGGTGCGGACTCTTTCACGACTACGCACTGAACAAGATGAGGGAACTGGCCAAGATCAAACCAACAGCCTGGAATTTTTCAGGTTGGTGTCAGCTAGATCAGTTCCCCAAAACCCTTGGTTTTGTGCCAGAAAAAAAGGAAGAAAAACCAAGGAATGGGGAGTTGTGGTGAGAAGCAAGCACAACTGCTTCACCCAGCAGCAATCTGGCCTTAAGCATTTGCCAGACATCATGAAAGACAAGCTGGTTACCAGCTGCCTCTAGTTCCGTTTCTTATCTACCTCTTTCTTGTTCAGAACTTCCCAAGTCATCTTGTACCATTTATAGTTGCTTCTATTGCAAAACTCGAGAGTTATCGTCTGCAAACTGGTGCGCAGAGCACCCTGCAGTAAGGCAGGCTGAGGGAGCAGCGCCAGCAAGGAGCAGGCTTGGCAAGCTCACCTCTTCCTAGCACTGAAAGAGGGCAGATTATTTTGGCAGATGTGAAGTACAGTTACATGAGAAACATTTAGTAAATTGAATGCTTTAGCAACGCAGTAACAAAATCACAGGGGTTTTTGATACTTTGTAAAATTTTTAGTGTATAAACTTCCAAATAGGAAAAAAACGTAATTTCTTTCTTTCCCTTTTCTTACTGGAAGTATAACTGCCAGGCTTCAAAAAAGGCAGGAGATTGCAATAGCGAAACCCCCAAGAGTAATTTTAAAAGGTCACAATAAGGAGCAAAGCATAACCTCAGAATTAAGCAAAACTTGGCTCTAGGTAACCTGGGGTTTGGGGTCTCAAAACAGGTAATATCTTCACATCTCAGGGACATGCCAATGGAGCTGAACAGCATTTCACAGAGCGCCCTTTACCTACAGGCAACAAGACCGACAGCTCCAATAACTTCTTTGGGTGTCCTAATATGCTAACAGCTATAAAACCGGTAACTCTAATTTACTATCCTGTTCAGCTTGCCATATTCAATTCATACTATTAGGACTCTCTCATACTACTTCAATGTCATTTGAAATAATAAAAACAATTCTAAAGTAAATTCCAGTTCACTGAACTAGAGGTATAACATTTATTTTCATATCATGAAAGGATATTTATATAATGAGAGGATAATTAAACTCATGTGATCTAAACAGGGAGAATAATGCTCTTAATACTCCTTCACAAAAACAAAAAAGAGCCAAGATTTTAAAAAATATTCCTAACTCAATTCAAGAAAAACATTCAATGCTACATTCAGAAAAAAATATACGCCTCCAAGACTCATCCAGCTGCTTTGAGCTAGGTTTTGGAGTTGTTATTACTGGCTTTTAAACAGTTATTTTAGTAGGTACTTGCCATATATTTATTAAGTAAGAAAATCTGATGTGACTTTTGCTTCAAAAAAAAAAAGTTACTATACAGTTTCAATGCCTTTACTCTCTGAAACCGAACCCTAACACCTATAAAAAGCCTTGGGATTCTATGATAATTATCTGAGCCGGGGATTGGGCTTTTTTCAGAAGATTATGTTTGTTTCTGCTGTTGGAGTTGGGCTCAGGCAGCATCTGACACATCTTTGTAGCAACTTCTCACAAGTGTTGCAAGGAAGAAACAACAGGGTACTGATTTAGCAATAAAAAGAGAAAGATAATCCAATTCTGCAACTTCATGCACTTTATCTTCAGATTTACAAAGACTGAATTTTCTTTTCCCTGAGGATTACTTTCCAGATCTGATCTGGCAATGTTAGGTCAATTTTATGCTGATTTTATGGGTGAGAGGATGAGAATCGCTCAGAAATAACTGTTGCTACAGCCAGCTGAGGAACTACTGAGTTTCTTCTTGTTTTCTTTTTCTAACAGACTTGTTGGGACAAACGCTTTGCACCCATTCTAAGCAGTAAGTAGCAGTAAGTAAGCAGTAAGCAGTAATGCAGTAAGTAAGTAAGCAGTAAGTAGCAGTAAGCAGTAATGCACCCATTCTAAGCAGTAAGCAGCAGTAAGTAGCAGTAAGAGGAAATTGTTACGCGCGCACAAAATAGTTTGTGTTTGTGTTTATGTACACATGCACATACAAGCATCACTTCTTCCTATGCCTACTGCATTCAGGACAGACATTTCTCACAGAGGTACACCTTGCCACATGCCAGTCACGCTTGAAAATTCCTTTGCTAAATATCCTATGGCATTGGAAAGTCTGTCTCCCAGGTGTGAACTGCACTTCGCCGTGAGGCTGCAGCTCATGCCCACCTCGCTAGACATGACTTGTGACATCTCACTTACTTGACTAATTGTGAATCATTTCTGATTGTGTAAGTCTGTCTACACATATTTGAAAACAAATCTTTTTATAATAAGATTCAGAAAGAACCAGTTAAGCCCCTGAGGACCACAATTGGAAGCAGATGCAACTCTTCATACAAGTCAGAAGAGAGATAAGCATGGAAAGGTTTGTGGATGGACAAAAGTATACTTGATACAAAGAGAAAAGTGAGCCACATGCAATGCTTAAAAACGAAAGCATTCCAAATATTGCAATCTAGAACTGCTTCACAAGAAAAATGCAAGCAAGTACAACACATACGAAGAGAAGAGGAAAACATATGCATATCCGCAAGGTAATGCCTCTCCGAAAATGTATTCCATAGAGGTAATTTCCTAAAGCATGTCATCCGTACTTTTAGGAAAACCACTTCTAACACATTTTAACTTCTGTAACAGATTTAAGAAAACATAAAAGTGCTGTTTCTCATGAAAGGGTAGATTAGAGAAGTAGTGCATCCAGAACTATGAAAAAATAAAGAGAAAGCTTTCTGAGTGGCAACTTTTCCAAAAATTCAATAGTTAAATATACTCTAAAAATACTCTTCATAATCATTAAGATGGCAGATTATAAACATCACCCAAAAATACAACAGGATAAGTTAATTAGCAGACATTCAATTTGGTAATGGAACAGAAATTACAAACACATGCTGAGAAACATCATCTCGGGTAATTCTCTTGATAGCAGCAGATGATTACTTGGGACAGAAAAACACAGCAAAGGTAAAATGAAAGGGATTAATTAAGTAGTTCAATATTCTGCCTGGAGAGGAGGAATTTTCATCCCTGTGGGTTTTATGGAGCAGGACAGACAAAAAGACTGCCAAGCAGAGTTGGTCATGTCTTGGGACAGAGGAATGGACTAGATGACTGCTCAGTATCCCTCCAGCTACATTTTCTCTGATGCTGTAACGATATTCACTGGAAAAAAGCTCTCAGCGCAGAGGGGAAAGAAGAGACCAGGGCCAGAAGTTATGGGGGTAGCGAGGAAACACAGTGAGGAAGCAAAGCTCACTGAAGACACTTCTTTCTTGCCTGGAAAAAAAAGAAGTCACAGATTGTTTTATTACATGAACACAAGAATGCAATTAAGCTGAAATGATATATCATTA